GGGGGGTTATGCTTGGGGTTTGGGGGGGATTGCGGTGGCGATGCTGGGGAGGGGGTAGCAAGAGGGTGGATGGGGTTACTGGGGTTGGGGTTGGGTTTGGGGGTTGGACTGGGGGTGGGGTTGGTGATGATGGAGGATCCAGGGTGATTGTGACGGCTGGGATGGCATCGGCTTCGGCTTCGGCATCCCATCGATCAGGGAATGGATCCTCGTCCGGAGTTAGTGCGGGGGGGAGGAGAGCATCGAAATCATCTAGGGTTAGCATTGCAGGTGGGAGGAGGAGGAGGTCGAGTGCCTCATAGTCCCCCTCTGGTATCGGCATCGGGTCGGGATTTGGTTCCTGCATGGCGGATTGATGATGGTGATGGTGGGTGGCTCGAGTGCTTGTTGAGATAGCAGTTCTGCAGAGAACGGATCAGGGCGAGATCTATATAAGGGCTCTGTGGAAAGAGCTTTGATGTCCATGTGGGCTGTGTTACTTAGGATATACAGGAAGTCGCCCTTCCGGTGAAGGAATCTACGGGTGATCTGTGCGATGTTGAATGATCGATGTGCTAAGCTTTGATATGGGGATGAATGTGAAAAGAATTAATTGCAAAGGGATCATACAATATGCTCCAGAGACAAAGGCATTCAATTACTTGGAAACATCTGGTACAGGGACAAGATGGACAGATGTCTGTTACTTGGTATCCTGTTTTTGGCTTGGGTTGCGCTAAGTTGCGTACCAACAGAAACACTGAGCAAGCTTCTCAAGTTCTACCTTTCTGAGCTCAACTATCTTACTTCCAAATTGAGTCCGTTCAATATATCAATAAAGTATATACACTAAAGCTAACTAGGTAATAAGTAATCCTGTCATGAACTTTTCCAAATCATCCTGTGATCTGTCAAGTCAGGATCCGGCTATATACAGTAAAACATGCATAACAAGTCGTTAAGAGGAGAATCCACCACAATCAGATCATCCCACCCAGCTCCATTCGGCGACCCGGCGACCATCGCGACGAAATCACCTCCGGTGCAGGTTTCACCGGCAGCGGTTTATTGCCCGACAGCTCGTTGCGTTCCCACTCCGAGTCGCTTTCCCCCGGCACACCGACTGTCTCCGGCCGGGAAGATTCGCTCGACGACAACCCGCCACCTGGCCGCATACGTCGGAAATCCTGCAGATCAGAGATGGGGATCGGGTAAATCGGCCCCATGCCCAACCCCATCGAATCACGCGCCATCTGCGTCAGCTGCTCCATATCCTCGCGAAGGCCGGCGACCTGCTGCTCGAGGCTACGTCGTGCGGTCTGTTCGCGCCGCAGCAGCATGACCAAGGCACTATACTGTTCGACTGAGATGGTGCTGTGGTCGGTTAGGGATGTCGAGGAGGGGGCTTGTAAGGTACGTGAGCGGTGGAGTTGATTCGGACGAAGGGTGCTTGTGCTGGAGGGGCGGTCTGGGAGGAGTGTGTCTTGAGTAGGGATGGGCGGAGGCATCTTGTTCGGCCCCGATGATTGTTTGCGACGATGTCGCTTGACAGGTGATGCAGCCTGCCTTGATTCGGCGGGACTCTCACTGCGGTCGGTCTGCAGACGAGCAATGGCGAACTCGAGGTCGATCATCTTGACTTCCAGGATGTTGAGCCGCTGCTCCAGCGTGATGTGCTCGTCCTGTTGCATTGAAGTGACGAGGGTGCCGACATTAGTCGGAATCGGATCCTCGGGCTCGGGCTCGGGCTCGGGCTCATCTTCCGCCTCTGGTTCCACGGCGGCCTCCTCGGGCTCAGTGCCTTCAGGCTCTGCTGGTTCCTCCATCAGAACCAAAGTCTCGGTGGGCAGCGCCGGCGCACTGGCGACTGTAGTTCGAGTTGGTGGACGGTCGACCTCCGAGGGTGCGCCATAGGCGGTAGACGCGGCGCAAGACTCCAGACTGCGCCGACGCCATTGAATAGGCGACATGAGATGGTGGTGTTCCTGCGCCAGACCGCGCAGGGCGGCAGCACTCCGCGACCGGCGCTTTAGCTGCTGGCGCTCCCGGCGACGGCAGACATCAAGAGGATCGCTGTTAGCATGGGGACTATTGTCGCGCTTGCTCACAGGACGGCCCTGAACGGCGGCTTCGAGCGCACCGCGGGATCCATCATCTGACAGGATCAGACTGGGAAGCGTGGCCCGACGCCGTCGTGGGTGCGAGTCCAGCTTCTGCAGAGCTTCCGCGAATGAGGTGACCGTGCCATTGGAGGGCGTAAACAGCGGAGGGGAGTGTTGATGTTGTTGTCGAGATCCGAAGGTTAGAGCTTGTGACGGCAAGCATCGTTCCATAGTCGGACTAGTGCTACCTCCCCGTAATGGCGGAGACACGCTTTCATCCCCGCGCGTCTTGCGGGTGAAGATCTTGCGCATGACGGTCTTCAACGTGCTGCCAGTGCGTCGATGGGTACTGGAACCGCGCACAACCACGGTTGGGGGCTCGGCAGGGACAGGAACAGCTCCCTGGCGGGAAGGGCCGCGCAACGTGCTGGACAAGAGTGATGTCTCGGCGGGGCGCGCGCGACGAGTGCTGACGATGAGTTGTTTCGAACTCATCGGAGGTAGGGCGGTGTCATCCCAAGTGTCGGCCATGGCGGACTCTGGCGATGGGGAGCTCCGATGCGAACTCAAATTGGACATCTAGAAGAGAACATAAGATGCACGGGCACGTGGGAATGTCGGGATGTCGGGATTGCCGCGTGGGATGATGAAGAAAAATGATCGAGCAGACGGAAAAGACACGATCGGGTATATAGTCACAGACCGGACACGGCCGCGGGGGAGAGCGCCACCGTCAGCAGGGAGAAGCAGGAGATCCGGCCGAAACGCTCAGATCATGGTGAGACGAAGGAGTGACGCGAGATAAAGTCTGTTTGTAGAGAGTGAAAGACTATCAAGTGGGGGAAACAGTATGGGAATGAGAGACAGTGGATCGAACCAAACATCAAACTACAGGAGGGGGGAAAGAGAGACTGAAAGGGAGAGAAAGTGGACGCAAAGAAGAAAGAAGGAAGAGAAGGCGGAGGAAGAGGAGGAGGAGGTGGTGGTGGTGCAGGCAGAAGAGGAGCAGAGAAGCAAGCATGTGCCCAAGTGGGCCTTTTTTTACGTTTCAGGGGGGGTATTTTTAGTATCCAACCTGACAAGATTGAAGACTAAACACAAGGCTCTGTATTGTGGACGCAGAGAAGATGCACAGAAGAGCATGATGAGGTGAAGAAGGATCAGCAGGATCGGATCGCGACCGATTCATCGTCCTCGGCTCGTGCCAACACAACCGAAGATGAAACCGTCAGACTTTAGTTGTTGTTGGTCGATTGATTAATGGTGGGTGAATTGAGGAATCGATTCTCAAATGATGGATGCCAAGCGGGCGTGCTCTGACCACTTTTGCTGTCACTCGAGCCGAATTGGTGAATTTAGTCTGTTTCAGCCGAGTGGAGCTGCTGCACAAGGCCGAATTACGGAGGATTATGCAGTTGCAGTGTTTTTATGACTTCGTCTTTGGCGGGCGGCCTCTCACAAGAACGTCCCTGCATCGGGATAGCGCAGATCAGCCTGTTCTTCTAGAAACTCCATCCAGCGCTTCAAAAACCCGTTTCCTCTATAATGCAGTTGGGGTCTGTCAGCAATCACGGAGAAATCCAACAACCGCCCCCAAATGACTTACTGGCTGATCGTCTCCGAATCACCGCAGATGCATAAGTGTCGCTTCGGCCGCGTCATGGCCACTGGAACGCTCTAGTCAGTGCTGACCTTCGCCAATTAATCTAGAACTTATCTTACCATTCAGCCGACGCTTCTCGGCCAGAAATCCAACTTCGCGGGCCTCGTTACTGCGCACCAGGCTGACCACTACTGCCTCCTTTTCGCGCCCCTGGAAGCCGTCGACGCTGCCCAATTCCAGGTCGGGATATTTCTCGCGGAGCATCTGCGACAACACTGCGAGCTGTCCGTTGTACGGGGTAATTACTGCAATATCGTTCGGTTGCACCCCAGCCGCCACCAGGGCATCGACATGCTGCCCTACCACCAATGCCTCCATCGAATTACTCTTGCTTTCCCCCAATAGTTTCTCTGACTTACCTAGCCCCGATTCCTCCGCCGTCTCAGGGAAGTCCCCGCCCTGGGTGTCCCAGAAGACCAGGGGTGCTATCGTATCGTCCGTCGTCTGTACTTCGTATGGCAAGTCCGCCAACCGACGCGCCCGCACGGCGTCAGCTGCTATCAATTTCGACTCGTACAGCTCCTGCGAGGGGAATTGCATAATGGTTTCATGCATACGATACTGGGTGGTGAGCATGCGTTTGATCCCCGGTCCATGCGTGGCCAGTAACCGGTCAAACAGCGTAGTCTCCAACGAAACGTCGGGCAACAGATCCACCCCCGCCTCCGCACTGCTGGTTTTTGTCTGCTCGCGCGTTGATTTGACGGTGGGCGGCAGCTGCAGATGGTCACCGGCCAGGATGACCTTGGACGCCGGCAGCAGCGGGATCCAGCATTGGGGCTCCAGGGCCTGGCTGGCCTCGTCGATCACGACCACATCGAATTTTTGCCCGCGCAACTGATGCCCGCCCGCCCCATGCAACGTCGCCAACACGACGCTGCTTTCGCGCACCAAGTCCACCACACATTTCGTTTCCCGCTCGCGGTACTCTCGCCGCAACTCCTTCAAATCGTCGTAGATGGCGCGCCGCTCCCGTCCCGTCCGCGTCTTTCGGATGCTGGCCTGTTTCTGGTCGATCTCGCGGCGCACATCCCGCACAATCCCGGCCGCCTCGGATGTCTGCGTCAACACCTCGAGCGAGTGATCCAGCACCGCCGGCAGCAGTCGCGCGGGGTGACCAATGCGCACCACGGGGATCTTCTTGGGGACCAGTCGCTCGACGATGTTATCCACCGAGATGTTCGAGGGCCCGCAGACCAAGACGCGCTGTTTCCGCTGCACCAGCTGCACGATCAATTCGATCAGGGTATGCGTCTTTCCCGTGCCCGGCGGACCGTGGATGAGGGCGATATCGCGCGACGCCAGTGCGAACCGGATCGCCTCTTTCTGGGAGTCGTTGAGCGTGGGATCGGTAAACTCCATGTCCTTGCAGACATCGTAGTCGGGTGTGAGGGGGGTGGTATGTCCGAACGCGACGCGCATGAAGTGAGTATGATCGGATTCCTGCATTTTGGCCATGCGATCCATCGTCTGGTTCATCCTGCATCATCACCATCGCCGTCATCGCGTCAGCATTTCTCCCTTCCCTCAAACCAACCAGAATCACCCGAGGAGATCTCCTTACCTTCGAAACGTAACATCATTCGCCAGCTTCACACTACCCCCCGCATAAAAATCACCAGTCAGCCAGCCATCCCGTCCCATAATTCTCATCATCTTCACCTCTCCCTCCCACCACCCAAACACAAAAACACACAAACAAAGAAAGGAAAAAAAAACGTACAACCAAACCCTCTTCCCCCACAACTCCTCCACTCCCTCATCCTCCTCCTTCTTTCCCCCGGCCGACGCAGCAGCCCCCTGCTGGCCAAACGCAACCCAAACCGCCCCCTCCCCAACCCTGGTGACCACCCCCTCCGGCGCCTTACTGCCACCACCACCACCATCTTTCTTCCCCTTCTTCGCCCCCGCCGACGACGAAGAATTACTAATCTCCAAACACCTCACCACATCCCCGACCCGGATGCCATGCGCAGGGAGCCGTAACCGCCCATCATCCTTGCCATTATTCCCGCCCTGGCTGTTGCCATCGCCTCCTCCCTTAGAGCTGTTAGAGGACGTAGTCGCCGCATCCGGCACAAACTCCCCAACCAACCGCCCGCCCAACCCCGTGCGCGTCTGCGAGAGCACCAGGCCCGTGAGCGCGTGGCCCGTGGCCTGGAGGGTGCGGCGCGTGGCGGGGCTGGCGGCGACGGAGGCGGCGGAGAGGGTGGAGGAGGCGATCTCGAGGCTGTGTTCGGTTTTAAGGTGGTGGAGCTGGGTGGTTGCGAAGGCGGGGATGGGGATCGGCGATGATTGGGGTTTCATTTTGGAGAAGGGGATAGATACGGTTTGCGTTTGTCTGAGAGGGTTGAGAGGTGGTGCTGGTGGTGAGCTGAGCTGAGCTGAGCTGAGCTAAGGTGGATCAGCGTGTGGTTGTTTGCTGTGGTGGGGGTAGGTAGGCGTGCGCACTGCAGCTTTTGTGGTGAGGGGTGGTAAATTTCTTGGTTTTTCTTGGGCGGGAGGAAGAGATTGTGATTTTGTTTCGGATGCGATGGGCTCGATTCGGAGCAAGGTGTGTTGCGGTGGCTTGCTGATCACGGTGGTGAGTGAATCTGGGGAATTGGGTCAGGAAAGTGGAGGAAGTGCGTGCTGCAGGATTGAAGAATGATGCAGTGCAAAACTGAGCTGCCAGATCGGGCTGCGGGCTGCGGGCTGCGGGGAAAGGCCGCGTGAGGGGAGCGATTAGTCATCAACTCCCTCGGACAGCTGTCGTAGTGGGCGGTGAAGTAGGGGAGGGAAGGCTGGATTCAGTCGCTTCATTCGTGGGTGTTTGCGTTTTTGTATTCAGTGAGGATCCTTCTATGAGAGCTCTAGGCGTAGGAGTTGCTTTGTTGACACTTTTTGACCAGGGTAGTGGTAGTATGGCATTAGTATGGCCGTATATCTTAACCACCTCAGCCATGGGCAATCTAAGGGACCACTCAATTCTATTCTGGATGTGGTCAAGGCATCAGTGACGCCACGAGGAATCGCAAATTAAAGTCTATTTGCTGGTTGCCAAGAAAGCCTTTTTTTCATTTGTTATTATGAACAATTACCTTCGGTTACAGACAACCTCCACTTATTAACTAGAGTAGATATTCCGAAGTGCTGAATAATGAACGGCCACCCTCCCTCCACGTTCCAACAAGGAAAAAGAAAATAGACACAGAGAAAAGTAAGATCAAGTCATATCCACTAAAGACACATTGTCAATGCGCATGCTGTGAGTTCTTCGGACCACTGAAGGGCGCCACTCCGCGAGCCCGCTGATATACGATCTCCCCCAGCATCCGCACTTCCATGTCCTTTGCCAGTTCGTGGTTCTCGGAGAGATACAAACGGTAGTCGCGCAGTCCTCGAAGTTCGAGCATCCCCTCTAGCAGCTTCTTCAGGTAACGGCGCCGGGGCTCACCGGAAACCATCCCTTTCCAGCCCATATCCACAATAGTCAATGACAGGTTCGGGATCTTGAAGTGCTCGCGGATGAAGCGGCGCAGCACCGACCACCAGAGCAGAGTCGATTCGTTGGCGCGGGGCCCTGTGCGGGGAGTATCACGGTAGTGGGACGGAAACTTGAGAATCAGGTGCCGCATGAGCTCCGTGGTTGAGGTCGGGAGCTTGTTAAGGAACTGCAGCATGAACTCCGGGTCTTCATCCAAGAATGCGAATTTGTTAAGGGAGTAGAATATCTGGCGGGCGTCCCGATAGAAGTCTCGGCTGACAAGGAAGTAGTTGAGCGGGCTCTCAAGGCAGCTGCAGGAGGTCGAAAAAGCTGTGTGACGGCCACGGCAGAAACAAATCGCCCCAACAGGAGAGCAGGTCAGGCAGCAATTCATCGAAAGAAAGCTGCTGGGTCGCATGGCTTTCTTGCGATCCTGGAGCGAGATGACACCTCTCAGGCTCTCCACCTTTGGGAGGAATGGGTCTGGATGGTTGACCAGGAGCAGCTCCAGAATCATGAACTGTATCTCCCGGGGAAGACGAAAGTACGGAAACTGAGGCTTGACTGCCAAAGTATTCGTCACCCTCAAGGCAGCACGGCGAATCACCTTCTGAGTGTGTTCCTCATAATTGTGACCAAAGTGGAACGCGCACTGGAGCAGAACTGGGAATGGATTCATCTCACGCATGAGTCTCTGGGCGACCTCCAGTTCGCGCACCTTGCATGTCATACTAAAATACTTCAGGCCGTGCATTTTAGAATGAGCCAGCAGGCAGAAGCTGATCCAAATTCGTAGAGACGTCCTGTGGACTCCACCGGCCAGCTTGAGGTAGCGGTGTTCTTTCGGGCTCAGGTCCAAGTGCAAGTAACGCAGACGGTGGAGTCCCCATTCAAACGAGGACTCAAAGGAATTGTAGTCAGTTCTGCTGGAGAGGGGTGCGTTAAACCGATTGCGGGAGAAGAAAACTGCGCCGGCTTCTTCACGAGTAGCACGAGAGATACTGAAGAGCTCAATAGGCAGTTTCGGGTGATTGCAGTCGCGCTCTATCCAGATCCCTGGACTTGGAGCAATATAATGACGATGATCCCCTTTCAGACAGGTGCCACCATTGTACTTTCTGCGTACAGCCTCGTATCGGAAGTTTATGACACAGTTCCGCAGCAGTCCAGCATACTCGAGGATCCTGACGCGAGCCACATGCGGGAGATCCATGAACGTGATGCGTGGTTTCTGAACGACCACCTCACTTTGAGCAGCCTGGTTCTCGGGATCGTTCGCAGAAAGCATCCATCCACGTTCAAGGAAAGTGAAGAAGGCATCCTCAAAGGTTGGGAGAACCGCGGCCGGAACATCGATCGAAGCTACTCAGAATTTGACGGTTAGTAGTCTTTTAGCTTGGTAGATAAGAGGGGACATGGAGGCATCAACGGACCCATGATTTCCATCAGTCGAGATGAAGTGTGTCCCAGATACTGCCAGGCAGGACTGAAACTACTTGAGGAAGCCCATATGAGATGGAGTGTGAAGGGCGAGGGGAATTAGGTGGTGGAGGACGAAGTATGGAGGAGGCAGAGATGTGGTGTAGAGAAAGCGAAAGAACGGACGCGAAGAGGAAACACGGTAAGTCACGTCAAATCCTCCTACTGCGTGACAGAGTCAACAGAGACAGCAATGGGGAGATGTCGGACTTGATGGGCAAAACAACAGAACAACAGAACAGTCCAAACAGTCCAAACGTGAAACCCCTCAACAACGACGAGTGAAGAAGGTGAAAAGGGAAAGGCCCGCATTCAATCCATCACTCCACCTCAACCTTCACCTTTGGACTTCCCCCGCTATCGTCAATAATGAACTGCTGCGGGGCAACACCACTTTCCGCCTTGTATACTATCGTCTTCTTTACTTTGGAAGCCATTCCTCGAATCTCGCTCTTGCACAACTTCGTCCCTGCAAGGTCACAGTCGCCGCACCGCCGGCCGATAGGTAAGCAGACCGTCTGCCCCAGTCCAACCAGCAACTTGTTAATCTCATGCCATTTGTCCTTTGGCAGCCACGATTCCAGAGCCTTACGAGTCTCCTCCGGAGTCTTCGTCTTGTGCCATCCCCAGAGGTTGGTGATACGGTGCACGTGAACGTCAACGCCGATGCCTTCGTGCTTGCCCCAAGCAGCACTCATACACAGGAATGCCATCTTCGGCCCGACCCCCGGCAAGCTCATCAACTCAGTCGGCGTCGACGGGATATCGGAGTCATACTGATCGCGGATAATGAGGGCAGCGGCTTTGATATACTTGGTTTTGTTGTTATGGAAGCCCACGGTGCGAATCAGCTCGTTCAACCGTTCCGGCGATACGGCCAAGATATTCTCCAGGTTCAGAGTGCTGTCCTGCATAGGCTCTAGTGCCTTGCTATCATAGTTGTCGTCGTTGGGCTCGGCCTTGATGGCAACCGGAGGTCCATCCCCAAGCTCTGTGTGCAATCGTTGCATGGCCACGGCCGTCACCGTATCCTTGGTCTGCGACGACAGCATCAGAGCAATGAGGGTCTGGAAGCGGCGATCTCGAGGCGACGACGCACGCCAATAGAGCTCAGCACAGCCCATAGTGTCGACTGGGGCGGTCGGATTGTCCTCGCGCATCTTCTTCACGGTGGTATAGATGGTCTCCCAGTTGGACGGAGGCTCTACCGTATAGGTGCCATCCTCGACCTTGACCTTCCGGGCAGGCACGCGGCGGGATCTGGCCGCAGGCTTCTCGAAGACCTTCTCTTTGACAGTGGTTTCAACTTTGAGGGGTGTCTGGGTAGCATTTGCAGGCGTGCGCGCAGTACGATTCCGCGAGCCGCGGGCTGAAGGGGCGCTCAATGCGCTCTTCCGCCGCTTGGCAGGGGGCTCCAAGATATCCTCGATATCGACAGTTGGGACCGATGACAGCGACGACATGTCATCATCATCGCTCACTGCCTCCGCAGACGCAGGCACAGATGCAGATGCAGACGCAGATGCATTGGAGCCACCGTTGAAGGCGAAACTGCGCAGGACACTGGCATGGGCCGATGAGCTGCGTGTTTGCCGACGGCCAGGGGGCGACAGGGCCTGAACGACTCTGGCCGTCTCCTTGGCTGTGCGAGAGGTGCGCATGGATGTAAAGCTGCTGGTTATCAAGATGAAAGATGAAAGATGGATGTCGTTTTCGATTTCACATGAAAAGACGGTGGCTAAGCATCAATAAAATTTGTTAGGGCCCCATCAGTCCAAGGAATGCGCAGTCCAGACCACGGGAAGAAGACTGGCACCCGGCGCTACTGAATGGGGAAGACCCACGACTTGAGCCTCGGTATTTTCTTTCCGCTTCAACTCCAATTGAGTGCAGTGCCAGCCACCCGCTGTGTCACTTCCTGGAGGAATGTGTCTGTTGGTGAGGGACTGTTTTTGAGAGACACGCAGCGATCGCAGAGACTTGTTTTCCCTTTCAAAGAACACGGTCAATTTCACACGTCCTCCTCCACACGCACCAAGGGCAAACCCCTCGCTCAGTCAGCGACGCTCAGTCAGCGACGCCGAGCATTCCACCGCATTCCAGCCACTCACCACTCGCCAACCACGCCAGCCAGCAGCCAGCAGCAGCAGCAGCAGCAGCAGCAGCTCATTCTGCACATGAGAAGCTGAGACAATGGCAACGCACAACACCACCCAGCGTCTCCTCCGGGAACTGAAGGACTACACCAACAACCCCAATGAAGCTCTTCTGCATCTCGGGCCCATCGAAGAGGATGATCTCCTCCACTGGGAAGCCGTCCTGAAAGGTGTGAAGGGCACTCCATACGAAGGTAAGCAAACCCTCATTCCTCCCTCTCCCCCGCGCCCCTCCGCACTGCCGACAGCCCTCACTCAGCTCTCCCCCACAACCTTTACACAATCTAAGATTCTCAATAGGCGGCCTCTGGTCCCTCCACATCACCATTCCCCCATCCTACCCGCTTACCCCGCCCACCATCCGCTTCACCACCCGCATCAGCCACCCCAACATCTCCTTCACCACCGGCGAGATCTGCCTCACCCTCCTGACGACCGAGCACTGGAGCCCCGTCTACACCCTCTCCTCGACCCTCACCGCCATCCACCAGCTGCTGACGGATCCGCGCCCGGAATCGCCGCTCAACGTCGACGTCGCCGCCCTGCTGCGCGACGGCGATATCCCCGCGTGGGAGAGTGTGGTGCGGTTCTGGACGGAGGAGGAGCGGTGGGTGCCGAAGTAGACAATATACCGCGTGGACTGAGGGAGGTTGTTTGGGGTATATACTCGTTGGTCAGGAGGTGAGAGGCTAGGTTGAAGGATCGCACCATGCAAACCGAGATGCGGCGCGTCTTTCTGGATCATCAAACCGTGTCCGTTCCGGGTGAGGGGACACAAAGAGATAAGAGGGAGGGGATTATCACCATGTCTATACCTACATCTACACCTATCTATACTGTTGTTTATTATTCGGTAGGTTTGTACAGAGCTAGCTACTAGGTAGGTACCTAGCTAGCCTACCCATCACGTGCAAAGTGACAGCAAGCAAGTAGGGCAAGTCATTTTACCACATTAGAGCCATGCTGTTACGTTCAGAATACCCATTTTCATGACCTAAGCACTACAATTATCCATAGCCTGAAACAACTGAGAGAACGAAACAGTCTCAAATTATGTCCGAATGATCCGTGATCCAGGAGTCACCTTGGCAACCCCCAAGGGTGAATGATCAAAGACAACCTGTCTAAAGTATGCACATGCTTTGAACAACATCCATCCATCCATCCCCTCTACCCTCCTCTTCTCCCCAACCCAGGTGTAAAAACAGAAATCAGAATGCGCTAAAGGAGAGACAAGGTGTGGGAATACGCCGAGCTAAATGAACAAGTAATGTATGCTTTGCCAGATTCACGTGTGTTTTGTTTTTGCATCAAAAGGATCGTAATATGGTGAGAGGTATCATGGGGGCAGCTGAAAAGCTAGCAGGAAACAAAAAAAAAAAAAAAAAAACGCCGGAAAATGCATTTGCTGGGAGGAGAAAAACAAGTATTCGGATGATGTGGGGGAGGTGGTTTGCTTTTGTCTTTACAGAGCCATAGCCACCACGGCCGCTCCACCGACCATCACGAACAGCTCCCGACCTAGACCGTGCGCGGTCGCGGCACCGTTGTCGGTCTGCAGACTTGGGGATCCGCGGGTGCCGGTGGCGACCTCGTGGGCAGTCTCGGTCGGGTGGATGACGGTGATGGCGGTGACGGTGCTCTGCTGGCCGTTGGGCAGCGTGGTGGTCATCTTGTAGGTGGAGGTGTAGGGGGTGGTCTTGGCGCTGGTGGTGGAGCTGTCGTCTGTGGTTTGGGAGTCCTTGGTTGAAGTAGTGGAGGTGGTGGTCTCGAGGGTGGTGGAGGTCGAGGTCGAGGTCGAGGTGGCGGATGTGGATCTTGATGAAGTGGAGGACGAGGAGGAGGTCGAGGAGGTGGATGTTGTTGAGGTGGTGGAGGTCGTGTGAGCTGCGGTAGTATGTGAGCTGGATGAAGTGGTACTAGTGGTAGTGGAAGTAGCAGAGGTAGAGGTAGTAGTAGTAGTAGTGGCCGCGACGGTGGGGATCGTGGTACTAGCTGCGGTGGTGTGAGAAGAGGACGAGGACGAAGATGTGGACGAAGTGGACGCAGAAGTAGAAGTAGTAGAGGTCGACGTCGCCGTGGCAGACGACGAGGAGGAAGAGGTCGACGAGGTGGTCGCCGTAGAGGCAGAAGAGGAAGAGGAAGACGTGGACGGAGACGAGGAGCTAGACTCACTGCTACTAGAGCTCGACTCACTGCTGCTAGAGCTGGACTCACTGCTGCTAGAGCTAGTCGTAGGTCTCGCAGCGGTCGTGCGGGCAGCAGTGGTCGTAGGAGCGGCGGTAGTTTCCGCAGCAGTAGTGGTGGGCTGTTGTTGCGCACTGCTGGTGGAACTCTCAGCCTGCGAAGCGGTGGTTGCTGCCGCGGCGGCAGAAGTGGTCGCTGCCGGCTCCGGGGCCTGGCTCGTCGTCTCTACCGCAACCGTCGAGTTGCCATCCGCTCGCTTGACCAGGTTCAAGTGGTCCGCCAACGACGAATCATCCTGCTGGAGAGCTGCGGCAGCTTCCTCGTCAGACTGGAAGATGCCGTGGCTGAACCTCTGGAACAGATGCAGAGCCTTGTGGAGGGAGGTCTCTTCGATGCTGTCGGCGACCGACGGGGCGTCGGATTCGGACTGATCGGCGGCCGGGGCTGCAATCGCAAATAAGGCGATCAGGGATAGGAGAAGCAGTTGGAGCAGGCGAGTTGACAACGCCATGGCGCCTCAGTTGGATATTCGACGTCTTTTTTGATCGAGTGGGATGTTTTTTGTTTTGAAGTTGAAGTGGAAGAAACGAAGGTTCAGGGGATCGAAGCGAGAGAAAAAGTGGTCGTTCACTTGGTTGGAGTTCCCAAAAGGGTAATACTCGGAGGTCGATGAAGAGGGGAAGGAGACGGAAGCGGAAGAGAGAGGCCAGGCAGGTTGATAAGTATGAGTAAGTACTGGGCTGAGTACAGTACGGTGCGTGTGGTGCGTCCTGCAACAGTGGGCTGGCAATAGTTGATTATAGTAACGGTTGGCAGGTGATTGATTAACTGCAAGCCACCCGAGATGAGAGTGAAACAAATGGCCGACAAGGCTTGTTCTGCTGCGCCGCCAGTGAATAAATAGTAGCAGACAAAAGAGAGAAAGAGAAGAAAAAAAAAAAAAAGAACCTCGATTGCCAGGCAGGCTAGAAAGAGCAGGAAAAAAAAGAATACGTACTAATGAAAAAAACAAGGCAGGTCTAGCTCGGACTTGCGGAGCCAGTGAGTGAGTGGATCAACGAGTGGAAAGACGCTAGAAGATCAAATTACAAGATGGTGCCTTATTTTTTTGGTTATCATCATAGAAAGAAAGGATGAAGCAAACAACATTCAGGAAGCAAAGGCATTATAACAAGAGGGACTGATAGAGAGAGGAACAAGGTTACCCAGATGCATCTTGCACCATGGTTCTACCCAGGTGCGGCGATGCATAGCCTATCCCCTCCGGTCGCGATAAAATGCCCTTAAAAAAGCAACAAAAGTATCCGGATGCAATCCGTGGGAGTCATGACTTCTCGACCGATTGTACGAGGTCACCGTCAGCCGCGAACACGGGCAATTGGGCCAATGCACACACCAGCTCGCCTGGATTTCCTAACCCAACCCACCTATTACCTACACAGAGGGTGTAAGACGGCAGCCATGCATCTTTGGCTTTGGTTGTGTGTCTCACAATCTGTGTGTATACCACCTCGGACAGACACTGATTGGCAGGCAGACTGTTTTGATGATTGGTGTCGTGGTGTCATTGCGAACAGTCGGCATTGAATTTAACCTCACTGGCTTGAAAAGGGAAGAATGTTTCAGTTGTTGCGGCCAGTCAGGCTGGAGCGGACGATCCCGACCGCTGAGACAAATCCGAAGAACTCCAGGTCGATAAGCAGAATAATGACAACACCATGAGATCAGTCGTGTTGCTTTTACGGTTTTACCCCACCTTACTCTTCGCAACCGAGCAGTCTTCTCCGTCAAGACCTCGGAGTTGACCACATGAGATTTCTACCGAGGACAAAAGAATTGAGCTCTGGGGCAAAGTATTCAGTATGGATTTTTTTTTCTCTTTCAGCACAGGAGTCTTTGTGCTGGGTCTATCAGGCACCAGGGGAAAAAGGAAGCCCGAACTGGGCCACTTGGTCCGTTCCTCTGCCACCGTTCGCGGACTATCGGCACTACCATCCAGGTGGCCAATTTGCCAAGGAGGTGTGCCTGACCATCTCTGGTACCTGTCGATTGCTATCCACTTACATCAACAACTGATCCCTTTGAGTTTCATCAAGAATCATTCACACTGTGATCAAATTGATTTTCTTTGAGGCATCATTCGATGCCTCTTCACCTTGCAGTGTCGACAGACCGGCTGTCATTGTTACAGCTTCCCGAGCGCCGAAACCCCCCTCCGCATCCGTTGAAGGGCTAAAGGGGCTTAGCTCTTATTAGATTCGGCCCTAGTCCCAGAACGGCTAGCTAAGTTGGATCAGATCTGCTATTCTGGGCAGCGTAAGCATCAGTGGCCATCTCTGATTGGCTCTAACTAGCGCAGTGAGGCTGACCCTTACCGGGACTGGACTAGCGCCCCTATCCTTGTGCTAATCTTGGAGACAGCCGGGCAGTCATTTTGCCTCTTCTACCAAACACAATACGAACAGAAGTTTGTTTTCGACCAAACGGTCAAGAATGAAGCCAAAGTCGGGTCGTTCGGCTCAATAGTCCATACTATAATTATCGGACGATTCGAAGCTAACCGGCCCTAGTCGACGCAGAAAGAATGCCGACTTTCGACGATGACGTCCATGACTACTCCATGTAAGACATGAAAGTGAAGATCAGAGCGAAGCCCATCGAGTGAACTGTGGTCGTACCACTTTCTTGATTGCAGGTGCTCCCAATGCCTGTCTCCGGGTGTTACAAATGATTGCGGGTGTATCCATGAAAACACAACAACGACGATGACGATGAACGACTCAAAGCACACTGTGCAACACAACAACGGATAACGATCTCCATCCGATTCGGATCATGCTTCAAGCTCTCTGAGACAATGCCATCCAAGCGCCCCATCCCGCCACCTTCCCCTCGATCGCGCGCATAATTTCCTCAATCTTCGCCGGCGAACTGAGACCCTGCTGGTCCAAGGTTTCGTTCAGTGCCACCAGCTCGAAGAAGTACCGATGCGGCCCTTGGCCCCGGGGCGCCAGCGGGGCGAAATACACGCCGTTCCCTCCATTCTGGCCGTACTTGAATCCACCCCGCAGCATGAACGGCTCGGTCTGCGACTGGTCGAGGAAGAAATCCGGGTTCTGCACCCCGGTTGTCGCGCGATGGACCCCATAGAACAGGCCGTGGATGACGGCTTCGGCGGTCGGGGAGTCGGGGTCCTCGCAGAGGAGGATATACTCTTGGACGGCCGTGCCGGATGGATAGGGCCAGGACAGGGCGGGGAAGTTGCCTGCGCCCTCGCGTGTGTGGTCGATGTCAAGGTAGGAGCCGGTGGGGCCGAACTCGGGTGATTCGAGTAGGATGGATGGCCACGGGTGGTTGGTGAAGGCTGGCTGGCTGATGAAGAGTTTGGACCATTGACACCAGACGGTGCTAATGAGGTTGATCCAGATGAGGGGGTAGGTGGTGTAATGCATCTGGTGTGCTGTCAGTGTCTGCAGTACATGCTCGGTGCTTGGGTGCTTGGAGGCCACTCACACTTGCTTGCTCGTTTGAGCTGGTATGAGCTGGTACAAGCTGAGGGGATGACGAGAAAGAATGATCGAAATTGTGTGGTTGCGAGGTGAGGATACTGTTGCTGCTCTTCTGGACGCCCTCTTGGAGGAGGTTGTCGGGCTTCGGTGGCCATATCATGGACATTCTCCTGCCTCTTGAACCTCAGGTGCAGTAAGTCCTCGGGGAAGGAGCCAGACGCCACGTAGTGAGAGTTGGAAGAGCAAGCACCGAGCCTGCATCTTCCAAACGAGGTGAGTACTATGCTGGTCCTACCTGCTAGATCATGGTGCAGCTGCCCCAACAATGGCAAGATGCCTTTGCCATGACAGTCGGTGTTGAGCAGCTCAGGGGACCGCCAACAACAGCCAGTGCATTACATCCTTCATTTTCCTCTGGGTGTTCTTTGCAGGCAAGCAAGCGAGGATAAGTATGCCTTTTGAACAAAGTAGTACTGCGAGTAGGTCGCTTCGCTTGATCACAAGACTGTCATGTTGACTGCAAGAGCTGAGGAAGGTGCAGTACAAACCCTTCAGCCATTGGCCGACATAGCATATATAGATGCCTACGTACCTACCCGAGCCCTACAACAGTATACATAGCATATTAGGCTGCCATCAACAGCATTCCCTAGTACAATTCCGCCCCCTTTCCGCTCGCGAGTCAATAAATTATCAGTATAGTTCACATCGTTTCACCCGGCGACTTGGCAAACCCATGCTCCTCGCTTGTCGAGCTCTATTCCCCCCTGGCAATCGTCTGCGCCTCAATGGATTCACAGCATGCTCGTAGCGCATGTCTTGACCCATTGGCAATACTTCAGAGTGTCAAGGACCAGGTCAGTCCCGTCCGCGGGCTCCGAGCATGATGGCCCGATTTCATGTGATGCGAGGCAGCCTACGCTCGCTCCACTCCTGATTCAATTGTGCGCGCCCGGGCGGCTTGAAGGACTTCATATCCTCTAGAGAACCCTGGGATTAATGTCATGAGGTATACAGTCCCATACATTCCAATATCTTTCTTTCCTGATAATCCACCAAATTCTCAACCTTCCCTCCTATCTGGCTATCTAGATATATATTCCTCCTTCGCACGTCAACAGAAGTAAACCTCACCTTCACCTACCCTCCACAATCCCATAAGTCAGCACAACCAAACCCAAGAAGCAGAAACATGCTGCCTAAACCTCTCCCGACCCCCCCAAGACCTCCGTAATTCATCAAATGGCAACCCACCCCGCCGAGACGGTCTCGACCGACTAGCCGAGTCCCGCCGCGCTCGTTAAATCTCCGGCCAAGGATTCCGCATGTGAGTTTTGACGCGAGCTATTCACCCCCCGTGGGAGATGTCGCTCAGTGAGCGGTACTCAACCTCCTGAGTTCTTGGGTTGGTTTTTGTGGAGAACTTCGTTCTTCTGTTTTGTCTTGTTTTGTTGGTATGCGGTCTTGGATTTGACGGTCGGTCGGGCTGGGCTCGGTTAAGGGGATTGGATAGATGGATAGACAGGTACGGTTACCGGTCGCGGGGAGGGGGGGGGGGGGAGAATTGGGTCTAGAGCGAGAGTTGGTGGGACCGTGCTTCGATCTGTGCGTTGACGTCAGTGTTAGGGTTTTCGTGTTTGGTTTGGGAATGGAGGGGACAGGGCGGGTTTTATGTCCCCTGGGTGATGAGGGATTGGAAGTGTAAAGTTAAGTATTTATGGTTGTGGATGCGATAAGTTATCTGAGATTGTTTCTGTTTGTGGGTTGGATTGGATTGGGTTGAAGAGTTGAGGGAGTAGAGAAAGTACCACTCCCGACCGGGTTCGGAGGGATCCCTCCTACATAGGCAGAGTATTCGGTTCGGCAATTGAGAGTACGAGTAAGTTATGTTGAAGTATGTACATTGTAAATTGAAGTATAGAAAAGATATCTTATCTTGACGCACGCGTTCTGCTCCTGTGATTTACTTTCCTCCTCTAAGTGCATCATCAAAGGATCGAGTGATAATGGTCCCTTCCGGACATACAGACATACAGAGACATACAGATGTCAATTGTGGCACAAGAAGAATCACTGATCTCATCCTCTACCAGTCCAAAGAGCGAAAGGGAGATCAAACTTGGCTCTTCTTCATACGTAAATGCAGGGAAATGAGTGATTGGCTAAAATTAGCGAGGGGACCGCCTAAAATTAGCGGAGGGTGGGTTGAGTGGATGGGGGAAGGAAGGGAATCTTGGGTGTTGTGTTGGCATGTCTCAGCTGCTGCTTCTTGGCTGGGTAACCATACCTGCTCTCCATCCAACGAATGGCACAGGCAAAACCTTGGGGCTCTGAGACAGGATACAGAGTCGTCGTAACCCCCCCCCCCCCCCCAAAGCCTATTCTTCTGGGCGTTTGCTCGGCCATCAACGGAGGGAGGTATTTGGGGACACCACAAGGGAAAAGAGAAGGGGGAGGAGGTCAGACATGCTGAGGAAGGAACCAACCCTCGAGTCAAACCAGCTCGGAGATGATCTGCTTTGGCACGGCAGGGAAACGGGATGGCTGCATCGATCGGTACCCTGAAGTGCTTGAGAGAGAGGAGGGGATCTTCCCCTTCTTATACGTTAACATGATTACACATAGTATGTTTGGAGAGGCAGAAGTGTTTGATCTGGTCGTTAGTGCTTAGTCGACAGTTGAGCACTGAGTAACCTATTTTGCAGGGTGTGGAAGTACAGTACATACTGTGTACAGTACAGTGCAATATGTCAAGCCACTTCCAGTGAGCAGCACCCAGGCAGGGGTCTCACTTCGTTTTCTTTCCCGCCCAGGGACTGGATTTGTGGCTGGACCCACTGGGGGCCCCCTCCTTCTTTCCTTGGCCCGGCCGGGGTTCAGGGCTTTTCAGGGCTCCTCAGGGCTCCTCAGGGCTCCATCTCCACTCCATCCATTCTTTGCGCCCTTCCCAGGTACAAGGATGTCATGGTCGACTTAATTGGTGATTGAAAAAGGCACAGCAGAGATAGAAATTCACCAGAAGGAAAACACCAATTCAATTCAATTTACTGTTCTTCAATATTCACCTATTCACTAGAAAATAACAAACTGTTTACACACAATGGAATCCACTCTGCTGTCCTATGTATAGTCCAGTCCAGTCCAGTCCGTCCCTGGCTGGACCCTGATCCATCCTGCAGTGCAGTGCAGTCCTGCGCTGGGGGCGATCTGACGATCGAGACAGCTGATAGGCATCCGGTAGACCCGCCCAGCAATTTCCCACACATACTGAAATCCCTTGGCTGCCTCATCCGGCAATCCAGGCAATGGAGACATTGTGTGACACGCGCTTCTTTGTGGCAACCTGGGTTATCCTTACTGTTTTGAATCTTTGTATGGGGCAGACGGCTCAGGGATGGAGTGGATGGCTGACACTGCCTGCCTTGGGCTGCCCAGTGTCTGCTCTTCAGTTACCCTTTAAGGGTCCTTCGACCCTGCACCACCACCACCACCCCCTTCCTTACTCTTTCGATTTCTCTCTCTTCTCTCCTCATCATCTTCTTCCCCTGCCTTGGGTTCTTTCCTCCACTATCCCTTCAATCGTTCGCTTTTCTTTTTTTTTTTTTCCCCCTCTTTCTCTCCCCATTTCAAGTCACTCGTTCAATCTTATTGACCTCTTCTCGCCTGCTTTCGATAGCCGCCAATTCTTCCAAGCTCTACCCTCCCATCAACTATATCATACTCTGTTACACAGCAGGTCTCCATTCGTTCCCGAGACTCACCCACCATCCGCCTTGTTTATCTCCCATCAAAGCACCTCGACTCACATAATCTATCAACATGAAGGGCTACGCTATCGCGACAGCCATCACTTTGGGCGCCTCCACCGCTTTGGCTGCTCCGAACCTCAAGGCCCGTGACGACGTGACTCCCATCACCGTCAAGGGTAATGCCTTCTTCAAGGGTGACGACCGTTTCTACATCCGTGGTGTCGACTACCAACCCGGTGGCTCGTCCAAGCTGGCCGATCCCATTGCCGATGCCGAAGGTTGCAAGCGCGACATCGCCAAGTTCACCGAGCTCGGCTTGAACACTATCCGTGTTTACTCCGTCGACAACTCCGCGGATCACGACGAGTGCATGAACGCTCTGGCAGATGCTGGCATCTACCTGGTTCTCGACGTCAACACCCCCAAGTACTCTCTCAACCGTGCCGACCCGAAGCCCTCCTACAACGATGTCTATCTCCAGTACATCTTCGCCACGGTCGACAAGTTCGCCAATTACAAGAACACCCTCGCCTTCTTCTCTGGAAACGAGGTCATCAACGACGGTCCCTCGTCGAGTGCTGCTCCCTATGTTAAGGCCGTCACGCGTGATCTTCGCCAGTACATCCGCAGCCGCAAGTACCGTGAGATCCCTGTCGGATACTCTGCTGTATGTAGTCACGTCATATCACAAGGAAAGGAAAAAGCACGGAAAGACTAACCTGGAATTTGTCTCTCTAGGCCGATATCGACACGAACCGTCTCCAGATGGCCCAGTACATGAACTGCGGTAGCGACGATGAGCGCAGCGACTTCTTCGCCTTCAACGACTACTCTTGGTGCGACCCGTCTTCCTTCACCACCTCCGGCTGGGACCAGAAGGTCAAGAACTTCACTGGATACGGTCTTCCTCTCTTCCTGTCCGAGTACGGCTGCAACACCAACACCCGCAAGTTCGAAGAGGTCAGCTCCTTGTACAGCACCGACATGACCGGCGTCTACTCCGGTGGTCTCGTCTACGAGTACTCGGAGGAGCCCAGCAACTACGGTCTCGTCCAGATCAAGGACGGCAAGGTCAGCACCTTGGATGACTACGATGCTCTCAAGTCTGCTCTGGCCAAGACCAAGAGCCCCACTGGCGACGGTGGCTACAACAAGACTGGAGGCGCCAACCCGTGCCCTGCGAAGGATTCGCCCAACTGGGATGTTGAGAACGACTCTCTTCCTGCCATTCCCGAGCCCGCTAAGAAGTACATGACCGAGGGTGCCGGCAAGGGTGTTGGATTCTCGGGCTCTGGTAGCATGAACGCTGGAACTGCTTCTACCAGCACCGCCACGCCTGGATCTGGCTCTGCCTCCTCGAGCAGTGGCTCTAGCTCTTCCGGCAGCGGGACTTCGACCAGCTCTCCAGGTGCTGCTGCTGGCCTGCACGTGCCCCACCTGACCATGACCCCTGTTCTTGTGGGCCTGGTCACTGTCATGTCAACCTTGTTCGGAGCTGGCATGGTTCTTGTTTAAATAGTTCATCTACCAGTGCATGTTTGCTCATGCTTGTCAATTCTCACCGAAAGCCCTTTTCTTCTTCCGACGGACCTTTTTCTCTTTTTTTTTTTTCTTCTTGTTTTTTTGTCTTCTTTAGAGTCAATATGCAGCCAGATTGGTCGAAGCACTGTATTTGACGATAGCCGATAGCCGATTGCTAGCAGGGCAGATGGCGGATGTGGGTTGCCAACGAAGTGATATTGAAGGCAGCTGTACAGTTGTTTGGTACCTACATTTTTAGCGCACGTCTCTCTGCATGTAGAGTAGTAATGAAATGATTTATCAAGGAAATTGCCCCGCTCAATTGAAGAAAAAAGAAAAATTGATGAGTATGACCCTATCGCCGGTTGGTCGGCTCAGCTGCCTGGTGGTGGGACCCGCCCGGAGGCCGACCGAGGTTTTCCCTCCCGAGTCACTGCGGACTAGAGTAATTTCCAGACTCCTCTCTCCGTCTTCCACCATCCATCTTCTCTGACACTTTGTTTGTCTCAGGATTCCGCAGGACGCTTCACTTACGATATCATCCCGGCGGCCAGAGCCAGCATGTTGATTCTCAAAACCGAACAAAGTATCAGGTATGTTTGAATATTGTCCATTTTCCGATCCAGGTGTTTGCAATCGCCTTGCTAAACAGACAAACCCCCCCCCCCCCCCCCCCCTAGGCACCAACGACTGGAGTTGTGAATACTCCAAGCCTCTACGGTGATAAGACAGCTCTTGGCATCGTCACTATACCTGTCCGATATCATGACTTGGTAGGAACCGCCTGTCGACAACGGGGGCTGTCTTCCACCCACTGGGGACCTTCATTATTCATCCGACGCCCAGGGAGGCCAATAGGCGACGCGGGTTTTGTGATCAATCCACTCCGGCGCGAACTCCTGCCAGGAATCTGTTTGATATAGATGAGCTTGGCTCTTCCAAGGCACAGGGGTGCTATAACGCTCAAACCACCGATGTCTGCTCGTGAAACACATGCCGACTAGGGATGCTTGGCATGTCCCACTCCACGCCGCTCTCCGAGAAACGCCCAGGGCCCGCCGGATATTGCTTATTTTGCTTCGAAGCCACTCACAGCCTGGGTTCTAGACGGCCACATCGCTGGAAGGGAGCAGACTAGACGCCTTCGAGGTGGGCATGCGTGTCCACAATCAATATCTTTAATGCATTAGTCTTATCCTCTGACCTCCCTTCAATCACCGTTACGCCTCCGCTTTCCTCACACGATGGCCGACCTGTCCCCACGTCGGCCTCGCGGAGGATTCTATATCAATGCCGTGGTCCGCCTCGAATTGGACTTCCACCGGCTTTCAAAAGTTTCAATCCATTCTCTCTCATTCTTTTCGGTCCTTCTTTTGTTTTTTCTTTCTTTTTTTTTCTGGCAATCTCTTTTTTGCCGCCACTCTTTTCCGGGTTGCTGCTGGGCCAGCTTTCCCCCTCAAGGTTTCTATCTCATTCTTCTCACCTTTGATTAGGTAACTTTCCGACCCTTTCTGGTCTATCGCATCTTTTGCTCGTTCTTCTCTTTCGAACAATTCGCTTCAAGATGCGTTCCTACATTCTTAGCGGCGCTGTGGCCCTGAGCTCCGCGCTCGGTGCCTCCGCCGCAGCCACCGCCACTTCCGCCTACAGTGATTCGCTTTCCGGCATGGACTTCCAGAGATGGTGCGATTCTGATACGGGCTTCTGTTTCGGTATTGCGCTGCCCGAGACCGTGGAGAAGAGCTTCATCGGTCAGCTGAGTGTGCCTCTCGACAGCTCTAAGGGATGGGGTGGTGTCAGTATGTCCGGTTCTATGACCAAGGCTCTCCTCATCGCAGCCTGGGCCAACGGCGATTCTGCTGTCGGAACTCTCCGCGAGACCAGTGCCTACTCTAGTCCCGAGGTTTACAGCGGTGATGCCAGCATTCTCGAAATCCCCGAGGGAACCTCCGTCAACAGCACTTTCCTCACCTATACCTTCCTGTGCGAGAACTGCATTCTCGGCGAGCCTACCACCTTCGGCGCCACCGAAGACACCTACTACTTCGGCTGGGGTCTCGCTACGACCAGCCCTACTACCCCCTCCTCCGATTCTTCTGCCATGCCTTTCCACGGAGCCGGCTACGGTGGCTTCGAAGTCTACCTGTCCAAGGCCAAGTCGTCTAGCTACGCCACCTGGGCTGCGAAGGCCGTCTCGAGCACATCTACTGCCTCTGCGTCCGCCTCGGTTACCAGCCCTTCTGCCAGTGCCTCGGCCAGTGTCGTCGCCACGGTCTCGAACACGACCTATGATTACATCGTTGTCGGAGGCGGTGCTGCCGGTATCGTTGCCGCTGAGCGTCTGGCCGAGACCAACAAGAAGGTTCTGCTGATCGAGCGTGGTGTGGCTCCGACCACGGAGCTAGGTGCGACCGATGCTCTTTCGTGGAACTCCTCGATGACTCCTTTCGATATCCCCGCCCTCGGCAGCTCCCTCACCTCCCTCAACTTGATGGGCGACTACCTCTGCGACGATACTGCGGGAATGGCCGGTTGTGTTCTCGGTGGTGGTACCATTGTCAACGCCGAATCCTTCATCCACCCCCAGGAGGCCGATTTCGACGACAAGTGGCCCACCGGCTGGAAGTGGAAGGACATCGAGGCGGCCGCTAATCGTCTCTACGCGCTCAACCCCGGAAGCACTCTTCCCTCTGCCGACGGCAAGCGCTACGACCAGGGCATGTACACTGTTCTGTCCGGCTTCCTGAAGGGTCTTGGATGGAAGTCTGTTGACTCCCAGAAGCAGCCCAACGAGAAGCACATGGTGTACAGTTACCCCTCCTGGGATGTGGGCAATGGTATCCGTGCTGGTCCCGTCCGCTCCTACCTCCCCTTGGTCCAGGACCTTGACAACTTCAGCCTTCGCACGAGCACCAAGGTCCGCCGTCTTGTACGCCGCAGCGCCCGCGTTACTGGTGTCGAGGTCGAGACCAGCTCTGGTGGCATCGAGATCATCAACCTGAATGCTGGTGGTAAGGTTGTCCTTGCTGCCGGTTCCATGTCTACTCCTCGCATCTTGTTCAACTCCGGCATTGGCCCCACTGAGCAGATCCAGACTGTCAAGAGCGGCAACACAGGCATCACCCTCCCTCCTTCCTCGGAGTGGATCAACCTGCCCGTTGGCCAGAACCTTCGTGACCACCCCATGTTCACCATCACCGTCAACACCAACAGCAACTTCACCCACTTCAACACCTCCAGTGTTGTTCCCGGCCCCAGCGCCGCCGTTCAGAAGCTTTTTGCTGAGGGCTCCGGTGTCCTCACCCAGGGTGGCCACCGTCTCCAGTTCTGGACCTCCAACGTTGGAACCGATGGCATTACTCGTTTCTACCAGGCTTCCTGCAGCACCAGCACGGACGGCGTTATCACCATGAAGCTGTACCTGACCCACGGTGCCACCTCGACCGGTGTCCTTGGCATTGACAGCTCCGGTACCACCACCCTCGAGACCGACCCCTGGTTGCAGACTGCCGCGGACAAGGAAGCTGTCACCCGCTTCTTCCAGAGCTTGATCGACGACATCAGCAACTCCACCTCCGGGTTCTCCATCTCCGGAACCTCGACTGCCTCCGGTATCCTTAACCTTATGACCAGCGGTGACCACTTTGTCGGCACTGCGAAGATCGGCACTGACGATGGACGTGTCAACAACGGCACTTCGGTCGTTGATCTCAACACCAAGGTGTACGGTACCGAGAACTTGGTAAGGATGCCCTTCTGGAATCGATGGCATCGCGCAGTGAGCTAACCGGTTTCCTAGTATGTTGTTGATGCCAGTATCCACCCCGATCTGCCCACCGGTAACACCCAGGCGATCGTCATGATTGCCGCGGAGGCCGCTGTGGCCCGCATCATCGCCCAGGGCACGGACACCGTTAGCGCCGCCAGCTCGTCCATTGCTGTTTCTGCGGCTTCTACTGCTGCTGCCCATTATGCATCTGCTACCGAGTCCTCGGTTGCTGTCAGCATTGCGACGGCTACTCCCGAGACTACCGCTGCCAGCGTTGCCGCCGAGGCGACCGCCACTGCTACCTCCGAGTCCAGCTCTGCTTCTTCCAGCTCTGCCTCTGCCTCCGATGAGGATGAGGATGACGAGGACTTGCCCGACTGCGACGATGAGGACGATGAGGAGGAGGAGACCAACCCCGAGGACAGCTTCTCGGGCTCTGTCTCTGTGACGGCCCACAAGGCTGTCGCTACTCAGGCTGGCTCCGGTGCCTCGACCACCACCGTGTGGGTGACCTCAACTGCCTGGACTACGACAACCGAAGCCGTGGTTACCACCACCACTTCGACCGTCACTGTCTGGCCCACCTACGCCTAGATAGGTTTGGGGATGGACTCTCTTGTGCGAAGGTGGTTGTGGTTGTATGTATATAGCCCGACTTTACCTTTCGATTCTCTGTATTTAGACCGACCGAATTTACTATTAGAATATTTGTGATGCACGCAGCTGGTTGCTTCAGAGTAGAAGTAGTCACAATTAAGCCATCCTGGTCATGGTTGTATTATGCGAGAAGGATTGATGAGAGCGAAAGGAAATGGGAAGGGGATGGGTGGCCTGGGGGAGGCCTGAGGAATGAAATTGAACGGGAGGCAGTCACATGTTTGGGCGGATTGACTGATTTGCTCGTCCTTACTTTTTCCGATCGGACGAAGATCAGCACTCTCGCACTCTCCCACACCACAAGATTGAGTCTGTCTCTCAAGCCACGGACTTCTGGTTCCAACCAGTCGGAGGGTCCCAATTTACTACGAGCTGAGCACGGAGCAGGTTCGATGAGGAGCCGATGATGCAAAAGCTCCGACCGGGGAGGACCGAAAGCGCGGCGTGGCCAAACAAGTTTGGAATGGGAAATAAGCAACAACCACCACTGCACCACTTCCAAATGTCAAATTTTTAAATCACGCAGGCCCAGATTGGCTCGTGCTTCAAGCAGTTGAAGGAAATGGAAAGCTGCTCAGCCACCTCCATCCATCCCGCCATGGCTCGAGCTTTTCCCACACTTGTGCTCTTCGTGCAGCATGGTCTGCAAGCTGCAAGCTGTGCGCCGCCAGGGTCTCGAATTTTGGATCTCCAACAGGTCCCAACCCAACCCAGACCTTTTCCCTCCGATCATCAGCAGCTCGAGCGTACGGAGTAATAATCTCTTCGCAGTCGCCGTTCACCTGTCGCTGCTTAGTGCCTTTGATCCAAGGCAGCAGGAATATGATTGTAACTATAGCTAGTCCCGCGAGAGGATTTTCTGTGTTATTGTTCATTCATTGTATGCGGGAATTTGCTGCACCATTCGGTTTTGCCCGCAACTAAGACGGATGCGGCATCTCGTTACCAACGAATTGTCTCGATATTTCGCTAGGGAAAATCCCGCATGCTAATCGCTGGTTTTTTTGTTAGGGCAATTATATCATCATGGACTCCGCAGCCAGCGGGAGAGAAGAGGAGGAGGAGGAGGAGATCGAGGGAGGAGAAATCAGCTAAGGAGGAGTTGGTCCTGGCTGGCTCTGGCGCACTGCACTTGCACTCCCTTCGGATTACCTCTTTCTCTCTAAACTGACTACCTCCAGTATGGTAAGTTAGCAGTCAGAACTTGGGACTTTTGGGTCCATCCAGGAACGGACCCTCCCCAATCCCCCCCCCATATTGCGGTAAAATGAGACCCAAAAACCGCGCATGCAATCATTTCCCTTGCACACGAAGCTCAGGACCTACCTACTGACCACCTACCCCCTCCCCCCTCTCTCTCACTACCAGCTACGGAGTACTTTCTTTCTCTACCGAGCTGCCTTTTTCTATACAGTACAGTCCAGTCCAGTCCTTGCCATCCATGTAGTCGATCCGTGGCTGTGCCCGTTCCCCATCCCCATGCGGCTTTGCCTTTTTCTGTAGTAACGCTCCATCTGGTGGTTTTCATTTCCCCCATCGGCGTCTCTAATCTTTTTTTTTCTCGCTCGCTGGTTTTCCGGCCCATCACGTATTGTTTGCTCTTACCTATAAATCCTCCCCCCTATCCGCCTGGGAATCATGGCCGCCTCTATTCCACTTCAATCTTTGTCCAAGGGATGCTCATCGACGGTGAAAAGTGGGCCTGTGAAGCTTGCGTTCGCGGTCACCGAGTGACCACCTGCAAGCACCATGGTAATATATACATGCCTTGTGTGACTGGTATTCCAATCTACCTGGCTAATTTCACCTTCGCACAGATCGACCATTAATCCACATCAACCGAAAGGGCCGTCCCTTTGCAACCTGCTCGGTCTGCAACTGCACGCCGTGCGAGGCGCCCGAGGATCACGCCAAGCTCAAACGTGAGGCCGACGCCAGATGTCAAGCATCAAAAGTAGAGCCATCCCCGATGTTCAGCACCAGCATTGCAAGCCCCCCCGCCCCAAACATATACTACAAAGACAACCAAAAAAGCCCACTCACCATCTGAATCTGAATTTTCCCACACACTCCTTCCTCATTGCTCCAGAGAACAGTCTAAGGCTGATGTGGAATTCCCTTTGGCGTCTTGCTCTTTGTTCTAGAGAGCCGCCGGCAGATCTCCTCGTTCCACCTCGGTGGGCTCCCTGAAGCCGATTGCGCCGCGTCCTGCGCCGTCATCCACGGGCGGTGGTAGCAGTGGTGGTGCAGGCGCAGGATTTCGGCGCGACTCCCACTCTCCCCCGACAGGGGACTATGGCGATCATCGCCCTCGGTCCATCATCTCCGTGAGCCCGCCGCCACCACCACCACCCCCATCATCCCAGCTGTACCAGCAGCAGCAGCAGCAGCAGGGTCTCATCCCCGGTACGCCCGGCAGCAGTCCCATCTACCTGCCCGGCACCAGCACCAGCACCGCCTACCCGTCCCCATCATACTGCACGATAAGTGACCTCCCCAGCTCGCTGAGCATGGTCAACCCGCTCGACTTCGAGAACGGGGTCGGGGTCGGGGTCGGGGTCTCCTACGCAGACAGCGCGTCCGCCGCCGCGATCTACGCCCTCGAAGACCTCGACGTCAATGCTCTGCCCGCCGACGTCTTCCAGGGCGATTGGTCGTGGCTATCGTTATCGGAGGAGGCGGCCCTCCGGGACGAGGTATAACATTTGCAGACGGGCTGGACTTCACTACCGGCTCGTCTACTTCCAAAGGAAAGAAAGCAAAGAGAAGCGATGGTGCAAATGTTATGAGTCATGACGTATACGAGAATGATGATGTTTGAGTGAGCACGAGGTAGCGATGGCTGCGTGGAGGGGGGGGTTTGTGTCTGGACGGGGAGCACAGAACCGTTAGTTCGCCGTGGGGAATCTGTTGATAGAACCGTCTGGGAGGGTAGGGGGTTTCTGCTGAGCTTCGGGGGCGGGGGGGCTCGCCCCTTCGAATCGCAGGCTTTATATATAGGTTTGTTGCGCAGTTTGCGCAATACCTACAGCAGGATATAGGTATATAGCAATACGATATACAGTCAGCAGATCTTGTCTGCGAGCAATGAAGATTATCCCCCTCCCGCCTCCCGGCAACAAAGAAGATTAGATGCAACCCTGGGAATATCACCTATCGCTGATCTCGATCTCTCAATCTCTGTAGTACTCCTTACTACGGTGCCAAGGGTATACCTCTCGCTATGGAATTGGTACTGTGGTGAGGATGCCCATGGCCACGGAGTCGGAAGCTATAATACTACGAAGCAGTGCATGGCAAGATAGCAGGGAAAGGTGACTGAAAGAATCGATGAACTAAAATCTATCTTCAGAGCTGAGATGGGAAATGAGTTGGGAGAACGAGACAAGGAGGCGGAAGGGGAGAACGATTGAAAGGATCAAGTACAGCTATCGATTATAGCATCCCCAAGCCTAGTTATAGAACCTAGTCACAGCCTGGAGCGCGGCCGGCCTTTCCTAATTTAAACCCCAAGGGTGGTATTCTCCAATTACCGTCACGCTAGCTTAAGACAAGTCCCTGAAACAAAAGTACAAGTTTAGCTATGCTCGATTATGTACAGCATAACAGCAAGGAGCACCGTATGTATTGTGGTATATGTACTGCACCTTCCGCCGTCTCACCCTCCAACCAAATCCAACAACTAGCAATCCGTGAGCTTTATCTAGTGCCTAAAGCCCAAAAGCCACATGCTACCTCCCTAATTCCTTCCACCTGGACCCTCCGTGCCTGGAATCCCCACGTTCGTTTCCGCCAACTGTCTAAACATCCTGGATATAGTTCGCCGGCACGCTCTTCGTCACGCCCCCCCGCTCCACATCCGCCCACCCATCCCCGCTATCCCGGTTCACCAGCACGAACCGGTCCCCTTCGCTCATACTCCATTCCATGTCACTGCGGGCCTCGTAGTCGTACAACGCTTCGACGTAGGCCAATTTCTTGGCCCCCCGGCGCGGCGCCACGGCGGGGCCGATGCGTTTGCTGCCGCCTGCTGGCAAGGTAGAGGCCGAGGCCGAGGCCGAGGAGTTGGTTGAGTAAGTTGATGCTGGGCGTTCCATCGGAAGGGCTTCGACGTAGGAGGCCGGGACGAGGCCTTCGTTTCCGGTTGCCGGGGTTCGCACGCGAAGCCAGCCAGATCCGTCTGTTTTATGTGGTGATTAGCCTGGATATTCCAGAATCAAGGATGTGAGAAGATGAAGGATGCGACAAGAGTAGCTTACCATCTGGCTCTACAATAACGATATCGTCCCCTTCTTGGACGGTGACTTCGTCATCGCCCTGTGCTTGATACGGATACAGCATCTTCCCGCGGGGTTCGGAAGAAGCCGGTTTGGAACTGAGGGTCGGGGTGGATGGAGGACTGTTGATGTATTGCGCCGGCGGTGGCGCAAGGATGCGGTTCCGCTTGGAGGCGGCCGCGGCAGCGGGTTTGGTCTCTGTAGCTGGTGGTGTTGGGGTTGATGCAGGTAACTCGGCTGTAGACGGGGAGAGACTGGTGGCGGTGGATAAGGAGCGGTTGGCACTGACGGCGTAACCGGAACTGAGTGAGTTCATGGTGTCTTTGCGTGTGAGCGAGGGCGCCCCCGTTGGGCCGCTGGATGATGACGGCTCCAGGTCGAGAGTCGGGGTCGAGTTGGCCAGCTCCTGTCGCTCGGCTTTGAGCTTCTTCTTCTCCTCCTTGGTCTGCTCGCCCGGACATTCTGCCGGCACCTTCATCTCGCACTTGCTGTGGCACGTATAACCGCAGTCGCGGCAGTCGAAGCCCTTGGCTGATAGACCCCAGATGCGCTCACCGCAAAGGTCGCAGTTGGTGGGGATCTTGAATGTCTGCGACTTGAAGTTATGATTTCGCGCCCCCAGCGACAGGTCGCCTACCACGGACATGATTGTTGATGTCTCAACTTCGGCCGTCAGGCGTTTGCGGTCAAGCTCATGCAACGTCTCTTGCAGGAAGAAGATAGACCGGACTACTTCCACCTCGCTCCGTTTGTCCCTGCCCTGCTGGATCGCTTCGCGTACCTTCTTGGCCGCCTCTACCTCTCGTCGCTTCTGATCGGTCTCCACTCGCAGATCGCGCACCTGTGTCTTGCTCTTACTGAGAAGATTGCGCAGGAAGACCTTGGCGGTCTCGTCGGTTATGAGGGCTTCGTCATCGTGCCAGACCGGGCTGGGCTCGAAGCCTACATTGGCGGGTTCTTGAAGAGGGGTGGTGTTGTGGCGCAAGAACATGAGCGAGTCGAGATGAGGGAGGTTGCGGGGGATCTCGTGCAGGAGATTGGACATGTGCTCCACACTTTTGGTCAGGTAATTCTTGTCCAACTGAGCTGCTTGCGCCCAGATTGAATTCAGCTTCGCTACACGGGTTTCGTTGAGGTCTTGCAGCCCCTGCGAACGTTAGTGTCAAACGTTAGTGTCATAGCTGAGGCTGGGCGAAAGAAACCTACATCGAGTAGCTCGGGAACATATTCGTGGTAAAAGCGCTCCTTGAGCTTGTTCGTCACGTTGATGCTGATGAGGTAGGTGTTCTGCTTCTGTTAGTGTGCGATAGGAGCTGTGATTGGCTACATACCTTGACGTTGTTCATTTCCAGAATCTGCTGCTGATAGGCCGCTTGGGCCTTGGACTTGCTGTGGTCAAACGAGCTCTCCATTTTCTTCCGTCGCGCTTCCACCTCCTGACATGCACCGTCATATTTCCCCTTGACCTTCTTAAGCTCGCTGTAAGAAGAGTCCCTTTCCTTCTCCAATTTGGCATGAAAGTCGACGTGGCACTTCCGCAGTTCCTCGTATTGCGCTGCGGCTTGTTTGAGCGGCTCCGCTATTTGAACCACCAGATCCGTGCCGAATTGGTCGCGTTCGGCGGCGTGCGCCTCGATCGCAGTCAATTGCGTCGTCCATGTCGTGAGCGAGGCGCTTTCGAGCGAGCCCGGGGTCATACTCGGAGTATCTCCTACACTCAGCGTGCTGATCTTCTTCGCCTTGCGGTCGTTGTACTTTCTGCACAGCGCCGTCATCTTGGCCGCATATTCCTTCTCGATAACACTGCGCTCTCGGTAGAACTGTTGTATTTCATCCAACCACCCGATGCCATGGGAAACCTGGGGAGCGATGGCTTAGCCCGGAACCTTGGGTCGGCCGTCGTTGTGGTCGGGGGAATGCGCGCGAACGAACATGCGGAAAGGACATACCCAATTGTTGACTGGCTTGAAGGCATCCTGTTCAATTCGGCTGTTAGCGTGAATACTTGGTTGTTTTCCTAACTGCAGACATCATCATACCTTCAGCTCTGCCCCAAAATGAGGGGCGACATCTGGGGTTGCCATGCTGACGGCTAATTCGCTGCCCGAAGATCACGGCGCAGAAGACTGAGGACGGGGATGCGAAACCAGGAGAAACCGGAATGTGTCGGCCTAAGATAACCCAAGCAGGCGCACGTTGAAACCACCAACCACCCGGAGAAGGGAAGCCTGGTGCGCGACCGGTGTCAATGGCAAGGGATCGGAGCAGCAGTGGAAGAAGCCGAAGTGGACAGCAATCACTAAGACTTAATGATAGTAGTTTGGAGAAGAGAGGAGAGACGCAGGCAATCAATCAATCACTGCGAAGGGAAGGAAGCGGGGAAGAACACAGCTTAGGCTGGATGCAGTAAAAGCCACGGAAGATTGCCCGATGACAATACCGAACGAGGCTGTCAGGCCACGTTGGAGCACTACGTCATTCAGCCTGATGCCACTAGAGTAAGGTACCGTACCGTCGATGCCCTTTCACTGCCCTTTCACCGCCTACCACAAGGGGCATCACGACGCCTTCCAGTCCTCCTTCCTATTCAGGACTAGCGCAGCTCAAAGGCGGTCCGGACTGGTTTTTCCGCCGTCATTGTCTGGTGATGAGCAAATGAGCATAGCAACTTGAACACCCATTCCCATTACTGCCTTATTGCTACCGCGATTGCTCTGAGTCCCGAGTTGGTCCCGAGTAAATCTTTCTCTCTCCTTCTCTTTCTTCTTCGTCCTTGAAAGGATTTCCACCTCTGCCTTGTGTTCGCTTGAGTCGCTGTTTGGAGCCAGCCCTTCGTCGCGCGTCTGGTTTAAATAGAATTACCTACCCCGCTGCTCCCCTCCTTCTTCCGTCTGGAATCAAGCAGCCTTTTTATTATTTTTCCTCACAACACACACCGTCCTCAAACTACCTTTGCCGTTTCACGAGATTATCATGGCCTCCGACGAACAGCCTGCTGGCGGCTCTCTCGCCGACCGCATTTCCAAGCCCGAAGAACCTCAGCCTGCAGGTATGGACAACACGCGGCGGCATACCTTCCTTCGACCCGGCGACTGTGTCACCCTCCATCGCGGTCGATCGCATCCAGAACCACGCTAATTCAGCCCTCTTACGCAGAGTCCACCGAAACCCCCAAAGAAATCGATCAAACGGATGGAGCGCCCGCCGCCTTGGGTGGCTCCGATCTTCAGGAACCCGACTACACCGTGGAGGTCAAGCTCAGCGATCTGCAAGCCGACCCCAACAATCCTCTGTTCTCAGTCAAGAACTTCGAGGACCTTGGCCTGTAGGTCGCATGTCAATCAAATCACTGAATGACCCTTTGGGGCTAACACCGTTTGCTCAACAGCGATCCTCGTATCTTGCAAGGATTGTCGGCTATGAACTTCCGCAAACCGTCTAAGATCCAAGAAAGAGCTCTCCCTCTTCTGCTCGGCAATCCCGCAAAGAACCTGGTCGGCCAGTCCCAGTCGGGTACTGGAAAGACTGCCGCATTCACGCTCAATGTCCTCAGCCGCATCGACCTCAGCACGGAGCAACTGCAGAAGACCCCACAGGCCCTGATTTTGGCCCCTACGCGCGAGTTGGCGCGTCAGATCGTGGGTGTCATCCAGGTCATGGGTCAATTCCTCCCGAACCTCCTCATCGGCACTGCTGTGCCTGCGGATAGCAATGCGCGCCCGACCAAATTGGAGTGCTCCGTTGTTGTGGGTACGCCAGGAACGGTTACCGATATGATCAAGAGACGCACCATCACGGCCAACAAGCTCAAGGTGCTGGTTCTGGACGAGGCAGATAACATGCTTGACCAGCAGGGTCTTGGCGATCAGTGCATCCGTGTCAAGGCGTCAGTTTCGCCATTCCTCTTCCGAATAGTGTGGTGACTAACAGCTTCGCAGTTTGTTGCCCAGGGATATTCAGGTTGTGCTCTTTTCGGCCACTTTCCCTACGCACGTCCACGAATACGCTTCCAAGTTCGCCCCGAATGCGAACGAGATTACCCTTCAGCATGAGGAATTGACCGTCGAGGGTATCAAGCAATTGTATCTTGACTGCGCCAACGAGGAAGAGAAGTACCAGACCCTTGTTCAGCTTTATGGTCTTCTCACCGTTGGCTCTTCCATTATTTTCGTCAAGGTTGGTGGATTTGGACTCGTGCCACAGGGTTTCTGCTAATCCTCGCTAGACCCGTGCCTCTGCTGTCGAAATTGAAAGGCGCATGGTGGCCGAAGGTCACACCGTTGCCTCCCTGACCGGTGGTATCGAAGGCTCGCAGCGTGATGCCGTGATTGACCAGTTCCGTGCGGGACAAGCCAAGGTTCTGATCACCACCAACGTCCTCGCCAGAGGTATTGATGTTTCGACCGTTTCCATGGTCATCAACTACGTAAGCAATTTGAGATGTGATCTTCAAGTTCATGCAAGCTAATTCCCGTGATCAGGACATCCCTGAAATCCACCAAACCAACCCTCGCGCTCCGCGCCAAGCGGACTTCCAGACCTACCTTCACCGTATCGGTCGTACCGGTCGGTTCGGTCGTGTGGGTGTCTCGATCTCGTTCATCTCCAACCGCGACGAGTGGGAGATGCTCAACCAGATCCAGAAGTACTTCAACACCAGCATCCAGCGGATTGACACCAAGGATTGGGACGAGGTGGAGGATATCATCAAGAAGACGCTCAAGAACACCCGTGCCCAGGCCGGCTTCCGGTGATTGTACTGCCTCTGCCCTTGCTGTTTGATAGTCACCGTTCGATCGCCGCGGATTGCTAGTCGGTTGGAGCAAATTGTTGGTTTAACGCCTGGGCTGTACTGCTGTATGGGCTGCGGATGAGTTTTATGAATCTTTCCATGATGGCTGAAAAATTGCACACCACACATATTAATAGATACCAGTTCATATTTGAGTCGCTGAAAACCAACCACCCCAGAATAGATTTGCAGAGCTTGAGCGTTTCGATGTAGATTTTTCTCTGTAATGGACGGCGATGTATTGTCAGACATGTGATTTGCAGTACGGAGGTGAGGAGTGCTAGGATAGAATGTGGCCATGGACTGAGCCCGGCAGTGCGATACCCACTGAACCCGAACAAACCGCTTTCTTCCTGCTTTAAATCAAATTGGTTCGAGCATGTGGGCAGAGGGTGGGTAGATATGCCAGCCCAGCGCTGAGGCACAGCCCGACTGAGCTCTGTGAAAGCGCAATTAGGCCATGATCGGCTAGTGAAAAAGCCAAAGACCGAGAAGCCAAAGACCGAGACAAAAAGACATACAACAGAAGGGATTCGCTGGTGGTCACCCACCCAACTACTAACCTCCCGGCGTGTGGCTTGAGTACGGCTGAGCGGACGGGAAGCCCTATTTTCCACACCCTGTGGTCGTATGTGCTTGGTAAGGTCTCTCTGCAATTTAGATAGAACGTGCGTGTCGATTTATCCGTGCATTTATGAAAGATTGGGGGAAGGCGAAGGGAGGAGAGACGCATCAGCCTCGGGATCAGCTATAAGGATAGGGCATGGATTATATGATTGGCGGCTGTTATAGTGCTTGGATTTACCACCCTTTCTTCCCTTGAATATGGATGTCTAGTCTTCAATACTGCGTTTAAGATATGCAGCACTGCCAACCGCAGAAAGTGTGTATACTGCTCCCCGGGGGTGCTCAGATATACTTTGGTGGAGTTAGCATCCCCCGGAGATTACGGTGATAAGAATCGAGCTGGAAGATTCAGTGCGGTGTTTACTAATGGCACATCCTTTTTGAGATAACTGCACCTTCTAAACATCGTAGCACGTTGAAGACATCAGCCGGCTAAACGGACATTCGCCAGGTGCATGCGCCAGTCACCAGCCACGGGGGCCTTTCTGACCGAAGCTCAATTGACGGGAATTAGCAATACGAGATGGATCCTTCTGGTAGATACAGATCCGACTTAACCACCAACCAAGTATGGCTCTGTTATCCCCGCCCCGGAGTTAACACGAGCCGTTGACATGTCTCCAGGGCTGTGTTAGCACAGCATAAGAAGGTGGCACGACCCAGTCACCCAGCAACAATCCCAGCAACGGTCCAGTACAGTACGCAAAAACCATCTCGCCCTCTCCAATCCCTTCCCCGAGGTGCTCTCCCAAAGTGAACCTCGACAGGTGATACAATACACAATCGCACGATCAAAAAAAATCTCCCACCCAAACCAACCAACCAACCATGAACCCAACCAACACCATCTCCGTGAACAAGCTGGCGGGCACGCGGGTCCTAGTGATCGGAGGGACCTCCGGAATCGGATTCGCCGTGGCGCGCGCAGCGCTCGAGCACGGGGCGAACGTCTTCCTCGCCAGCTCGCAGGCCAGCAAGGTGGACGATGCCCTCACGCGACTGAGAACCCTGTATCCAGACCCGGGATCTCAATCGCGCATCGCCGGGGGATGCGCCTGCAACCTCGGCGACCCCGCTACCTTGGAGACCCACGTGCGCGACCTCCTCGAGCAGGCCACTACCACCACCACTTCCACCGCCACAGAAAGGACCCTCCTAGACCATATCGTGTACACCGCCGGCGACGCCCTGGGGCTCAAGCCCGTGACGGACCCCACGCTGACGGTGGCCGACATCCACGCCGCGGGGACGGTGCGCGTGCTCGGGGCCCTGATGGTCGCCAAACATGCCCGGAGCTACATGCGCGTGTCGGCCCGCTCGTCGATTACCTTCACCAGTGGGGTGAATGGGCACAGGCCGGCGCGCGGGTGGGCGCTGGCGGCGGCGAGTGGAGGCGCGGTGGAGGGGATGGCGCGCGGGCTGGCGGTGGATCTGGCGCCCGTCCGCGTGAACACGGTCAGTCCGGGCGCGGTGTTGACGGAGTTGTTTGATAACTTCGGGGCTGAGGAGGCGAAGTTGGCGGCGGTGGAGCGGTACGCTGAGGAGACGTTGGTGGGGGAGATTGGGCGGCCGGAGGAGGTGGCGGAGGCGTATGTTTACCTCATGAAGGATCGGTTTGTGACGGGGACGGTGGTGCATTCCGAGGGGGGGAAGTTGTTGAAGTGATTTTGTGGGGGTTGTTCAGATGGAAGGGGTATCTGTTTATTCACCTTTGTATATTCAAACTGTTCTAACACTCTCTTGTCTTGTCGCATATTTAGATCTGGGCCCGATGGAGTGGTCAAATGTAGACCTTGCAGATTTGTGAAGGCAGGAGCTGTGGCTGAAGGTGCCTCCCTGTGGATCTGCTGTGTCAGAGCGATGATGATTGGACGAGACACATATTAGGTCTGAACCTAAGAGCTTTGAGTGGAATGAGGCACTTGAATCTATAGGATGCATTCAACAACAAATGACACAGAAGTTACAACCAGAACACTTGGCTACATTGAGAGAGAAAGATGAAAACCAATTGAAGTGAACATGTTAAAATGACTAGGCATTTCAGTGTCGTATTCAGCTAAGATGCCCTATACGACGTCCATCCAGCCCAAAATCCTATGCATAGACGTTGTCCCAGATGCATCACACGATGCTCATGCTGTTCCCGATCCCGAGCCTTCAGGTCCCTGCTGCTCCGGCTCCTCCAGGAACGAATAGCGATCCTTCCTCTTCAGATCTTTAGCTTTCCAGTCATTCGACATTTCGGGGAACAGATCCAGTATTCCATGAATACTCGTGTCGTGGGCCACCACCACAAACAACGATCATCCGCATCGAACCTCTGAACGACCGCAAGGGTCTCGCGAGCAGCAGCCTCTTTCTCCAACGATGGCGCCTCGCTGGGATGTTCTGACTTGGGGCGATTTACCCTTGCGTGGAGCGCGGCCCCGGGGCAACTGCGACTCGGCACGTGCACATATACGGAAAGGTCAGAGGGTGAAGGGGTCCGTAGTACCGAAGGCTGGTCAACGCTGTCACCTGCGACCTGCGAGATAGATGAAGGTGTCCTCGGTAGTGCGGGACAGGGCTTTCAGGTGACCCAGGGCATGTCCTGGCGCGGAGAGGAGATAGAGATTGCCATCGCCGAAGTAGTCGAGCGCTTTGAGGCCTCCGATCTCCAGGTCGAACTGCGACGGTGTAAGTCCTTCCACTTTGCGACCGAGAAACTCGCGTACCACAACAGGAGCTGCCTTCACGGCGGGCAGACCGGGGTAGAAGGCCTCCTTAATTCCGGATCCAACAACCAGTTTAGTACGGAAGGAGAAACGGGAGGGTCGTCCGACGTGATCGATGTGTGCGTGACTGCCAGCAGATAAGACATCAGAGCCTGTTCAGATCGGCTGCCATCGAAAGGGGGAAGGAAGGCCCTTGGGGAAATGCATCCATACCTCCGGATAATCGCGTCAACGGTGTTGCGCGCCACGCCATGCTCTTTCATGATATCCTCAACACACTTGTCAACTCGCATATCGCCGCCCATTTCTCTGCCAGCTTCCATAATATGCAGGGGAAGTCGAACATGTCTTTGGAAATTCCCAGATCGAAGATGACATCGCACCCTCTACCAAAGGCGTCCGTATGATGGACGAGGAATGAATACGTGAGAGCAGTCCGCTTCCCCAGGCCCTTGATTCGAGGACCCATGGATTGCCATGTTGGCACGAAGGGGGCGTATGTGATGTCGATTATCGACACTTGTACCGTTGACAAAGAAGAAGGGATGTCCAGGGAGTTTTGACTGCCCATTTTCCACGCGTTGATCGACTGACACTTTGAGCTTAGACCTTGGTTGATGTTTTTATCCGTGGGTGCTTTCAGTCGGGTCTCTTATGAGCTGTAGAAGATTAGGCAGTGTCAGGACTCTTCTGCTTACGCCCATGAAGAAGAGCTCTCACCTGGGTTGAGTAGATGTTTCGTATCCAGGGACGAGGGGAGAGTAACAGCAGCAACTCCTTCCAAAATACGAACTGAGATGCTGTCTCCGCGGGTGGTGGAAGGTCGAAAGACCGGGTATGAGCTGACTACTCGGGACTGATGATCAGCTCTCAAAATCATCGTTCATGATTTACTAGGTAAGTACCTACATTCACCCGCGGCCCAGGGGCTTCTTCAAAGTGGCTGCTTCTTGGACATGGACATTCGCATTGTGGGAGTTGAACCCCCCCCCACCGGGTCATTGCATTCACATAGCACCAGAGTCAAGAATTTCCCTGGGAGAGTGATGATCTTGGCATGGGGAGAAAGCTAAGCGAAGTAGATGTTCGGTTGTGCCACACGCAGAACTCACTACTAGATTGGAAAACATGTCAACCAGGAACTTGATCGAATGTTTTAGAGTCTGTATGATCGATGGACTCTCCCGGTAGTTTTGTTTGATATTGTGATGCAAAGGCTTATCTGATTGTTGCTGTCTGCTTCTAAGCAAGCAGGAACGTCCCTGACAGTCATGTGAGCTGTTTTCTTGGTGTCTACGGTTTGCCGTATCGCTGTCGATCGCTGTTCACCATCCAGCGCACTCATCGTTCACATCATTTACCTTGAAGATTATATGAAGCTCTATGGAAATTTACATGCGAGATTAATACATCAATTTCGTAACCTGTAAGCATCCAATTCATATTCAATCTATAAAATATAAGAACTACGTTAGTAATGATCTAGTTACCGCCGACGGGGCTGAGAGTTACTCCAATAATAGTCACTGGAGATGTTATCAAATTATCTTTGAAATATCCTAGCCCTAGATGATGAACGCTCATCCTCGAGGAATAGTCTCAAGAATACTGATCTAGTATTGCTACCAACGTCTCCGGCCAAGAGTTTCGGGCGACCGACCGACTGGTTTTTGAGGCGAGGGAAGCTTTGGAATGAGGGGCTGGTCATCCGCCCTGCTGCCCCCATACCCTCGTCATCGTGCAGCGGCAAATTTGTTGATTGATCCAGCTGCATGGACCAGCCCGGATCGCGCCTCTCACCGACTTCCTCCCAGATGATTTGTTGGATCTCATCTCAAGGATAGCAGTAGGCTTGGTTGATAAAGAGATTAACAGGGGGAGAGGGGGGACAAAGGCACTATGTAGTAGTTATCAGTGCTTATCAGTGAGCCCTGATCGCCCGCAGTGGAGAAGATAAGGAAAGGTCCGCAGCCATGATAACCAACAACCCAGGTAGGATAAGATAATAACCCAAGGAAGGCAGTGCGGGGGGGGAGAGTAACTTCCCTACTGTAGTACGAGACAGGACAAGAGAGAAAAAGAAAACCTAAGAATGAGAGAAAGCCTGGATCCAACCAGGCAAAGCAAGCATTGGGGCCCAAGTCACATGCACCCTGGTATGCCCAGTAACAGCTGTAAGTTCCTTAGCTTTCATTCACTGGGGGACAGCAAGCAGCCTGATCGGTCGGACCGAGCAAGCTACAACTTCCCTCTTCTACTCCCCTCTCCCTCCCCCTCCCCCTCCCACTCCCATTCTCCATTCCCCATCGTCATCTTCTCTTTCTCCCCTTTATCCACTTCCACTGCTTCTCCTCTTCCCTATTTATGTCACTGAATCCCCCCCCTTCCTTTTCTCTCTTCTTTTCATATCCTCTAATCCTTCTCCCGTTTCACCATGACTGCCAGTACCCCGCAGCTTGATACATCCCCCAAGCCCACTGAAGCGGCAACAACCGTCGTTCAGTCGCCGACTTCTACTTCTCGTTACAGCAAGCACATTGTCGTACGTGTGGCGTGTAGTTCCCCAGTTCCTCAATCTTACAGAGAAACCCACTGACCCACACTCCCCATAGCTAACTACCTACCCCGGCCAAAGCGGGATCGATCCCGTCCCGCTCGAATGGGGCGCCCCCGATGCCAAATCCCGCGGTCCGGTGATCGTCTCTCGTAGCCCGAACCTCCTCAAGCGCCGCAACGCTATGGGCGCTCATGGCGGAAGCTACAGCATTTACAACGCCCTCGCGATTGCGGCGGGCGACCTGGACCCGGATTTCCGCCCCGACCTCCGCAACAGCGAGCCCACCTTCAAGTTTCCTCCGCAGCCCGCCTGGGGCGACAAGACCAAGATCGTGTCCATGGACCCCTACGGCCACGATGTCGTCAACCAGTACCGGGACGAGTTGGAGGCTGGCTGGGACATCCGGCCCACCATGGCTGTCACGCGCGCGAACATGAAGCTGGCCGAGATTGGCGAGGCCGTGCGGGAGGGCAAGCTCGATGTCGACGGCTCGATTGTGGTGGACTCCGGCGGTGAGGTTCGCGTCACCAAGGTCGCCGTGGAGCCCGTCTGGTACCTGCCGGGAGTTGCGGAGCGGTTCGGCGTGGATGAGGGGACGCTGCGGCGGACGCTCTTCGAGCACACGGGCGGAAGTTACCCCGAACTCATCACGCGCCCAGATCTGAAGGTCTTCCTGCCTCCGATAGGTGGATTGACGGTTTACATCTTTGGGCCTCCCGAGAGAGTCTCAGACGAGAATGTCCGGTTGGCGCTGCGGATTCACGACGAGTGCAATGGTAGCGACGTCTTCCAATCGGATATCTGTACGTGTCGTCCGTACTTGGCGTTTGGTATCGCGGAGGCGATCCGGGAGGCGCAGAACGGCGGCAGCGGCGTGGTGATCTACTTCCGGAAGGAAGGTCGTGCTCTGGGTGAGGTCATCAAGTACTTGGTCTATAATGCTCGCAAGCGCGGTGGTGATACTGCGGACAAGTACTTCACTCGCACGGAGAATATTGCTGGTGTTCGAGACGTAGGTGTTGCCCATATTTTGCGGTCGGTCACTGCTAATTTATGATTAGATGCGCTTCCAAGCCCTCATGCCCGACATTCTGCACTGGCTGGGTATCAAAAAGATCGACCGGATGCTGTCCATGTCCAACATGAAGCATGACGCCATTGTTGACTCTGGAATTAAGATCTTGGAGCGTGTGCCTATCCCGGAGGACATGATCCCCAATGACTCCCGCGTCGAGATTGATGCCAAGATTAACGCCGGCTACTTCACCACCGGCAAACAGTACACGATGGAGGAGTTGGCCGCTGTGAAGGGACGCGGTTGGGAGAAGTGGGAGGATGTTACGGTATGTGGTGTTCCTCTTTTGGTTTCGATGCGAGCGAGACTGACTCTTGATAGCACTGATTTCTGCCCGCATCTTCCAAACCATGACCATTTTTGACCCGGCGTTCGCCATGTCTACTTTTCGCACTCATAGTCATACCAGAACTGCATAGCAAGGCTTTTCCACAGATTGAGAATAACAGAAATAAGATAAATATCAGGGCTATACTTAGGACTGCACCATAGGATACCTCTTGTACAATCACAGCAGTGGTAGCGCGTATACTACCTGTGACAGCATCCGCTTCAACCATACAAGTAGTCTGGAGCCGTAATCCCATCACGTCATCACCAATTATCCATCAACACATTCCGAGCTTTGAAGAAGAGTTAGATTGCAAGCTACAGAAGTATTTACCAGCTGTGAGTCTTCCTATATGGCTCCAAATGAACGAGCAACAGTTGGCCAAAATCGTTAGTTGGATGAAACCTTGTCACACCATAAAAGAAGCTTGCCTGAGAAGAACAATAAAAAAGAAAGGAAGAAAAACACAGTGGGAACCCCCATATATCGCAAAGTTTTCGAAGGTACTTACTTGGTTTGTTGTAAGCATCGAAGATACAGAAGGCAAATCACTGACTGAGTTAAAGCGGATGCTTAAATGTGCTAGTACAGCGTGTCAATACTGTCAACTGCTGTATATAACGATTGACTGTCCCATGCTGGGGGTATTACCAATGGGCAGTATTTGACCAGGTATGCTCTCACAGATTATCCTGGGATCAACCTGATGTAATCTTATTCTCACTTGGGCGATTGGTGCTCTCGATGCTTCACTTCTGTGCTGCTTGGTTAGCTTCTTGGTTAGCATCTATCTTCCAGCTGCGCAGGTTCTGCAGTGTATCACTTGTGGCCACAAATTTCTCAGCTCCCCATCGTCGATCTGCAGCCAGATCATCTATATAAGCTTTCTTCTAGTGCCAGATGTTGAGAGTTTGAAGATCACTCTGGCTTCGCTGAGATCCAATGCATTACTGTATCACGAATCATAACTAAACCCGGTCCACAATTCGCCAGTCCTTCCACCGGTCGGTGTCGAGGATTCGCGAAATCCATTACCACGGATGGTCGATAGATCTATCTATGCAAATGCATGATTTTATTCCCAATCCCTATCCTCTCCCAGTTGGGGTAAATGCACTGCAACAATCCTGACTCGACAAAGCGGCTTGACTTTTGCCGCATCATGCGCCGTAGGACAACTACCTACTAGCCAGTCCCACAACCTTGGATCCGGAGGCCAGGCGCATTCTAATGACAGATTATCGAGAGCTTGTGTTGCAGACGCTAAGGCTCTTATCACCCCACAAGGGGCCAGCCGGGGAATTTAGCCTGACAGGAAAGACCAGGTCATATGGATGAGTTTCCCAAGTACACATTGGAGATCAGCCGTATATCGTGCTACCGGCTCTTCGTTCCCAATTCTATGGCGGGTCAAAGTCAAGGGTAATGAAAGCAAATCTACTGTATAAGCTTATCGTACCGCTTGGCGTGAGCACTGAGTTGATAATCTTTTCCTGCACATGCGAGGGAGTGGTCATTGGCTGCGTTGCTGTGGGGACAGGGATAATGGTGCACCGAACGTATCACGGGATGAACAATTCTGTTGCTGTGGGCTCGGCGGATTTAAGG